TATAGTACAATACAATACAATATGTTCGTAGATATTCTCTCAACATAATTCTGAGCATTAAACACACATTACATACTATATTAATGTTATTTTTTATTATTGTTATTATGATTAATTGCAAGTGTGTGAATATTTTTCAAATGTGTTTTTCTTTTGATCATGGTTTTGAACTAAATGTAAATGATTTTCATACCCTTCCAATGTATTTTAATTTAATTTTGATTTTTTCACACACAAATTTAATATTTGACAGTAATAAAATATATAAAAAAAGTGTGAAATTCATACATATCAAAATTTGTATGTGTATTTTTCAAACGCCAAATTTTAGTTAAACACCAAAGCGACGTATGAAATTCAGACACCTAATCACACATTTGGGTTTGCAGTCTAACAAGCGCTCAGAAAATAAGAAATTGCTTATAGCAATGTCATAGGCACTAAAGCACTAGCAAGTCAGTTTTCTAACTTGTTTCAATAAATTGAGAAAACGCCGTTTACTAAAAGCTAATTTTTTGTAGCTGCTATTATTTGCAGAAGAAAGGGGACTATAAATCATCTAAATTTTTGTTAAATACGTTTTATCATTAGACATTTATTGCAGAGGTCTGTTGCGCAAATCGCTGATAACGATAAAAATTAGTCTTTTCTTAAAGAGTGCTTTTTGTTCTACCAATCAAAATTTAGTTTGATATGACGTTAGGGGTTGATTTCAGACTATTATTTTTACAAGAACTTTACAGGGCCCCAGGGCTTATAAATGAAGTCGACTTCAACTATAACATTTTAAACAAATACATGTACCATAATTCCTTAATTAATTACAGGGTAAGAATTATTCTCATCGGTCTTTGTTAAAATACTCTTTAATTTGTGTTGACCTATTGAACAAAGAAGTAGATTCTACCTTTTTGTTCGAATATATAAATAATTTAACAATTCATTTATGAACAGAATAGTAGCTCAAATAATTACACTTGAAAATTAACTTTTGTAGTTCATTGTAATGACTAAGGATTTGATATTACACAGAGAAAAAGAGAAATGAAAATTTACCTAAATATTAAAGCAATATTTACAATTCATCCCACTAGATCGTTGCTTCGAAAGGGATAATAATAAAAATTACAATTTGGACCCGAATTTGTAAAAATAAAATCCCAGCAGAAATAAATTTACTAGCTATTTTAGTTGATATTACTTTGATTGTAATAATTAAGAAACTTGAAAAAATTTTTAAACAAACATGTCAAAATTGCGATTATTACAAGTTACCTAATAAATTCTATCATTTCTACTGCAAATTTAGTCATTTACAATTGTAATTTTTTCGTTTTCACCGTGTATTATAAAGTTCTTACAACATATTAGATTAGTGTGCATGTTTGTAGTATGACAGATATGTAATGGATATATTGATGGGTTAATGAAGCTTGTATCTTTTGGAAATAATATCTGAACATGAAGCAATGAGAATTACTCTTGTTTAAAAATCCGAAAGACTTTTGTATCAGCATACACTTCAATTAAAACCACTGACACGAATCCGACCGTACGAAATTACGGCGCAAATACGGACATTATCTGTTTCGCGCTTTACCGGTCGGAAATCATGGTAACAAACTAAAAATTGATAACAGTAATGTTGGCAGGAAGACTCAAACAAGGCGCAAGACAGAAATAGGTGCTAGGGCATCGTGGAGCACGGTCGGGTAACTGTCTGGCCCACGTCCAAGAACCGATTTTCGAAGGTCTTATCAACGATAAACGTTCCAAACTCTTTCCGGACCGATCGAACGATTGGAAAAAAGTAGTCCGATGATGAGACGGACCGTAACTTTCACCCACCTTTTCGTGTCGATCGTCGTGTGTCAGTTGTGCTTTTCGTTCAAATTTTCAATCGACGCAAGAAGCACGAAAATTGACGGCTGTAGTCCGTAGCTGCTTATGTTTACGATGCCAAACCATTATGTGGAACACAGTGGCGACTCGCATTCAAAACATTTAAATCGAGAAAAATTAAACTTAGATTTAGGCTCAGATTGTACTCCAATATTCTTCAGAATTTGTGCCAGGGAATGTACCAAACAATATTAATATTGATAATATATTTACTACTACTACTACTACGAAAAGCATGCAGGTGCAGTGGATTGGGCGACGCGATGCGATCTCTTCCCCACTCGGGGACGGGTTTGAGTCGCTGGACTAGTAAAGTTGTTGCTGACGTCGTTATTGTCATGGCAAGATGTTCGTAATGGCAGAGATGTGTAGGCGAATCGCCTAGCTCTTCACATGAGCTTTTATTGTGTATATGAAGGCCGTATGAAGTCGATATCGACCACAAACAGTCGATCCCTGTAAATGAGATGGACCCAAAACAGCGGAAATTTTCTTTTTCGCTTATTACATCTTCGAAGAAGCAAGTAAAGCTTTTTTATTTGAATTCATAATAATGCTACTGTAGATTGGCTGATACATGGAATTAATACGCTACTTATGCCACATTTTGACACTAGCATAACTGCAAAATGTGGCGAGTTGTACTACTTTTTTTATCTCTATTATCAACTTCAAAAAGGGGCTTAACGAAATGTGGTCTAAGGTCATTACAAGCGCAATTTGAAACATACCAAAACCCTCTAAGACATAATGTTACCTAGGTACACAAAATTTCTGTTAGTTATTATAAAACCAAACGTAATTATAACAGGAGTTATACCCTTTTTATGAAGTAATATATCTGGATTCTATTCAGGGAATACATAGGTGAAGAGATTTTTCATCTACTTCACCTGAACAGTCGCCACTGGTGTGATTACGTTTATAATATAACGTGTAAATAACAAACGATTCCACAAGTCTCGAAAGCCAGCTGCATCTTGTTAGACGTTTGGTTGGATAAGCGCTCGAAATAGACTCACTAATGCGCGGTTCTCTCAAGCTTTTGTGGCGCAAAGGCTTTTTTGCTTGACTTTGAAACAATTGAAGGTCGCATTTTCTTTTTTTAACAAAAATCCCGAGAATTTTATTTACATTATTATTTATTAATGGAATCGCGAAAGCTTTGGGTCAGACGCCAATGAATATAGAATTATAATGTAAATTGTATTACTCTGTTGATGTTTTCGGCTATCTGACGTGTGGGTTTATATTTGTACTGACGTTTCGTCCATTCCACGGTTCATTTCTTCAGGATCGACTTGAACCATACCTCCGCAGGAAAATAGTAATATAATTGACACCAGTGTTGTGATACCAACTTCACGGTCAATGAAGGTCAAATTCATTTGACTTTTCCAAAAAGATCTATATAAACGTCACAAATTCTTGATCAACACTACCATTGCTTTGGGTTTTCCACATTATATTTTTGTCAAAAAGTGCGAATCTGACCAATAATTTCTTCCATTTTTAGTTATAACAATATCACAAATATCACGTTCTCCAATATCGAGATGAGCAACTTTTATGTTATTAGCGTGAAGTTGGTTCTTCATCACAGTATAATTTTTGGGAAAAATATTTCCCTTTAGGATGGATTTTTTGCGCAGATACGAGGGTGGATTGATAAGTTTCCGGCCTGACCAAGAAAAACAAGGTTTTTAAAAATTTTTTTTTTTTATTTCTCAACATAATCTCCTCCAAGGCTGATACATTTCTCATAGCGGTGTTCCAGTCTATTAATGCCGTCTCTATAGACTGATTCGTCAAGCTCCTCAAAATAACCATTTACAGCTTCGATTACTTCTTCATTGTCCGCAAATCTCTTACCGCCAAGCCATTTTTTGAGATTAGGGAACAGAAAATAGTCACTCGGGGCTAGGTCTGGAGAGTAAGGAGGGTGCGGCATCAATTCAAACTTTAGATCGTTGATTTTAGCCGTCGCAACGATTGACGTGTGCGCTGGTGCGTTATCGTGATGAAACAAGATTTTTTTCTTCGCCAGATGAGGTCGTTTAATTTTCACCTCGTGGCTCAAACGTTGCAATAAGTCTGCGTAGTATTGACCAGTGATAGTATTACCCTTTGCAAGGTAATCAATGTATATAATACCTCTTGCATCCCAAAAAACAGTAGCCATAACCTTGTTCGCCGAAAAAATTGTTTTTGCCTTCTTTGGAGTTGGTTCCCCTGGTCCAATCCACTGTTTAGACTGTTCTTTGGTTTCAGGAGTGTAGTGGTGGACCCACGTTTCGTCAACGGTTACGAATCGACGCAAAAATTCGCTTGGATTACGCTTATACAATGACAAATTTGCGGTAGAAATGTTTTTTCGAATCAATTTTTGGTCGACTGTTAGCAAACGCGGCACCCATCTTGCACAGAGCTTTTCCATATGCAAATGTTGGTGCAAAATATGTTGCACACGTTCATATGACATCTTACAGGTCTCAGCTATCTCACGCACTTTCAATCTGCGGTCTCCCAGCACTATTTGATGAATTTTTTCGATCATATCTGGAGTTGTGACCTCAACGGGGCGTCCTGAGCGAGGCCCATCAGAGGTGCTCACACGACCCTTTTTAAACTCGGAAACCCACTGCTTAACGGTTGAATATGACGGGGAGGATGTCCCCAGTGTTGAGTCCATCTCTTTTTTAATTTCCTTCGGCGTTAACCCCTTCAAATAAAAGTATTTGATGACAGCACGATTTTCCTGCTTTTCCATTTTTACGAAAACCACAGAGGCGTCTTGTTCAGCGTGCTGTCAAACCTACACTAGCAAGGAGATCGGGCTGAAACTATAGCTACAAGCTATCCAAGGATGGTACTATAGAATGTCACCTCAAGGTAGGCCTAGTGGCGTCATCTCTTGGTTAGGCCGGAAACTTATCAATCCACCCTCGTATAATTGAAGTTTATTTTTCTAATAACTTACCGCATCTTCTTGTTGACCTTTTATCTCACTAAGCAGTTGTGGTGGAAGCGCCGGGAGGGATGAAAATCCGTTCTTTTCAGTCGGTTGCGTTTTCCTTTCCTGGAATGGAAGCTAGGGTTTATTAATTTCAGTGAATTATTGGTAAAAAAAAGCAATTATTTATTCTTACTTGGTTATCATCCGAAAGCTTATATTCCGTGTTAGAAATCGCCTAAAAAAAAAAAGAAAAAAGTCAATTCCTCCTACTATTTACTCTGAAACTCCTTTAAATGAAATAAAATGATTTCCAGAAGAAGACGAATAGAAATAAATTATAATTTGATGTTAATTTATCTTGTGTGCGTATGTAGTCTATATACATATATTAGTGATATATATACAATAAATTAATATATCCACACTAAACTCGTTAAACCGAAAAATTTATTTTACCTCTTCAAAATTACTGGTGCTGGTTAGGCTCGCAAAGGCATCCGGAGGCAGAGATTTTGGTCTGGTATCTGAAGGTAGACATGACGGTAAACGAGCTACCCATGTGTTATTATTCGTAATAATAGGGGTCTAAAAACAAGAACATCGTTGATAAAAGTAACATATGCTTAATTAAGTATTAATCATGAAGTGGCATATATAAAATATCTTAAGCACATGATAAAATAAGACTTTCGTAACAACACTTAGTTTATTATCAAATCTGACAGTTACATTTCCGTATATCTCGTAGTTTTCGAGAATAACTTTGTTAGATTTGATATAAGATGAAGTAAAATTAAAAAAAATGTTATTATTTTTTGCCAGTGATGTGAACCATCAACACCCGGTTTGTTTATATAAATCATTCCAAAAATTATTACTATATTTCATAAGAAAGTAGAATAAGGAGACTGTGGAAAATAATAATTAATTAAAAAATTAAATAGAAGACTCACCCCTAATTACCACAAACTCTTTTTGACTCAAACTCAGTCTCGCGTTGATAATGGCCACGTACGAAGTTGGCGAAACACGTGTCCGCTCAAATAGTTTTTGTAGTAATTAGGGACGAGTCTTCTTTTTAATTTTTTAATTAAACATATTTCCTAACTTGATCAATCAACTTAATTACTCACTGAAAAATTTAATATACATATATGTTTACCTCGTTTTTATATGATTCTGAAAATCTTCGTACAAATTCCTCATAGTTAAATCCATTACCATTATCAATACTTTCATCCTTTTTGTCTTCCGCTTTTAAACTCTCTTTCAGTTCTGTATCTTTTTCGGCATACGTATCAATTTCCGAAATGATTTCTTTCAGAGTATTCTTTATTTTCTCCTCCTTTATTTCGGCCTTATCTGTATCATCCTGTCTTCGAGGAATTACTTTTGGTGTTTCAAACAATTTTATTTCAGTATAACCTTTGTCCTCTTCATTGTCATTTCGTTCTGTCGTAACCACCTCATCGAGGGTGTCAGTTCTTTGAAAGGGTGAAATATAAGGTTTCGGCGTGTCATTGAACTTCCTCGCTTCCAATATTGACTGTTCACGATTTTGAGCAAACGACGAAGGATCGCTATACCTGCGTAACGATTTCACTGTGTCTACGTCACTAAAACTCTTATCAACATTTACTTTTGTAATTGGTTCATACATTGATTGCGTTAGAATACCATAATTACTGTTCGTATTTGTTTTACGGTTAGGTTGATCTCTTATTGTTTCGGGAACCGGTGGTTTTGATTGGAAGTTACTTCTTCTAACAACATTATCATTTGTATAGGAATATGGTGGTGAATAATTTTCATCCTTTAGTATCGGTGGATTCTTTTCTGATTTCAATGAATTGTCTATCTGTTTAGCGAGTTCAAAACTTTTTGGTGGTTCAAATGGACTAAGTGGTTCGAATGGTTTGATAGATGCATTGAAGTTCTTCCCTTCGTATGGCCGAAGCGGTTCAAAGTGAATCAATTGTGACTGATAGGGAGGAAGACTGATGGAGTTGTTCCCTTGATAAACTTGAAACTCTGACATGTCCTTAATAAAATAAGAAATTATTCTAAACAAAAATTGTAATAAACGGCTTTAACTATTAATTAAGGAACCAATATATTTCGTCTCGTGTAGAGGCCTCCTCAAATCTTTCATGTTGCTTAAATGACAGTATACATATTACATAATTTATCTTTTATGTCAAATGAAACTAACGACGTGTCCGGCGTTACTTTAGGAACTTACGAGTTGATAAGGAGTACGTAAAAAAAAGAGAGGTGACGGGGGTAGAAAAAGCTTTCCCTTTTGGGAAGAGGAAGATGTAGAAACCAAACGGAGAAAAAGTTAATTTTTGAGATTATTTCATAAAATATTGCTATTATTAATTTACCTATGAAGTCAGTATCCTGATGGGACGAGAAGGGGTAGGAAACAGCTCCCTTAGATGGTAAACGTGCAGGAACCATAATTTTTGTGAAATAAAAAAACAATTTTTGACCTTACTCCATAAAATGAGGGAATCACAAAATGAACGTTTTCTTCCTTATACCCGTCTCCTACCCCTTCCCTCGCGTGCACCCTACTATGCAGCACGATAATACTAATCATGCATTAAAAATAACGTAAATTCATGGAATAACCTCATGAATTGGTTTTCTTTTCCCTCGATAGGAAGATATTTTCACTTCACTCCCTCAAAGTGAATGATATCATACCACAAGGTACTAAGGTCAACTCAAAGGCAGGGTGATTATTAAATTAAATATTAGAATACAGACTATTAGAAAATAATCGATCATTTTGATTTGCGACTGCTCTGCTTAAACAAAATTAATTATTTGCGATTTAATTACATTTGTTTTTAGAAAATGAAAATTAATGTGATCAATTTTTAAATTTTGGAATTTTAACCCTACTGCTTTTTACTGTAACGCTTTGAAGTCTCATTTTCTTCGTTTTAGGAACAGTTTGTGACATTTTAAATCATTTATCAATTATGATGAGCATCAATTAGGACATTTCATAAAGACATTAAGTGCAAGGTGTAAAATAATTCTCAAGAGTTGGAAACCTTCGTGAGTAATATTATCTATTACATGCACTTATTAAAAGGTGGCATCATCTTTTGAAGAATGCAATGTGGTACAGTCAATCAAAACAGATAATCGCGTCGATATTCAGATTTTGTTTGATTCCGTTCATGTGATTTTTAAGTGGAAAAAAAATTGAATATCGTCGCCATTTTTCCCATAACCCCCGATATTTTAACATTCGGAACAAGTTTTTCCTATATATCTTTTTTGGATTGGACCCATATTTCACATAGCTCTACCATTTAAAGGAAACATTATTTTTTTTATTTTATTAGCTCCATATTTTGATTTTCTTTAACTTTTTTCGATTTGGCTCATATTTCACATGGCTACAATTCAAAAGAAACTTTATTTTGTCTATTTTCGAACAGTAGGTATAGTGAATTAAATTTAGATGTAACAGGCTATCTTGAATTAAAATAAGGAACAAATTTTTCAGTTTGAGTATGAGCATATTGCATACTTGATGGGCCACCCTATATAGCTTACCATTTTACTATTATTTTTTTAATTACGATTTTACTCATTAACATATTTCAAATTTTTTCTTGATTTATTAAGAATAAAATTATTTCACAAAGGATAATAAAGAACCTGAAGCTTCAAAACGTTGCAGTAAAAAAAAACAAAAAGTGATTAAAAATAAAACAATGGAAAGCTATATAGAACTGAGCGCTTATGAAAAGCGCAAAAATTAAATAAAAAGCTGAAACATTTTGAAGCTCATTGTTCTGTAAAGGAATAAAACAACATTCATTTATTTCACATTTTTTTATTTAGATAGAGAAATTACGGGTTACAAAGAAGAAGCGTTGAACAAACGTAATAACAAGTAGAACAGATAGATACATCGCATTTTGCTAACAATCCAATATAATTGTTTCATGATTGTGACTGTAACTGTGACTAAGGAGAATGGAGAAGCGTCAGTTCTATATAACTTAAAATTGCGATAAAGCTAAACATTTATGAAGGGTGATTGTTTGTGCCAATTGAAGTAATATTTAAGTGTTTAACAAACGGCTAAGTGATATGTGTTCAAGCACATTCAAGCAAAATAAGACATCAGTTTTATTCGCAAATAATTGCAATAAATAAATGATTAGTTAAAATTTGGAAATATAAATATTTCTCTGCGTTTCCATTAAAATTTAGTATCAAAAATATAAGTTTCTGCAATTGTTTTTAAATTTAATGGGAATATTTGGTGGCCCATTGGAATTCAAAGCTTAAAAGGTAAAAAATGCATTAAAGTCAAAGGAAAACAAACCCCAAAGGTTTAAACACAGTGGCGTAGATTAAAGTTTTACAAAGGGGATAATTTTTTACAATAAATTTATTTA